TGCTGGTGTGACGTCATCTGCGTCATTAGAAATTTGCGTTTGGTTTCGGAATGTTTCAGTGTGCTCGTTCATCCTGGTCACCTTGGTGTACTGGAATAAAAAGGATCAGGACTGACACGATCAGAGCAACCGGTGACCATCTCAACGGGAATCACCTAGCATCTGTGTGTGTGTGTGTGTGTGTGTGTGTGTGTAGATTAGAGGGCGTAGAACTGGAAAGCATATGGGGAGCGGTTTGATATCACCCAACTCAATGCAAAGCCATGTGCGCTGACCAATGGACTGTTATGAGTTTAAGGTATGAGGCCCAAACAGAGAAAGCTGATTCAGTCAAAGGTGACCATCGTATACAAGAGAGTCTCCCGTAAATTCGTACGCAAACGAGAGTTCCTGGCGAATTCCATTTTATTTGAATTCAAGTGGAACAAATGGTTGATGTAAAAATGGGGATCGGGCCAATAAGATTAGCCCCCAGAAGGGCGCAACCGATCGTCAGCTGTTCAAGACTTTTCAGTACCCGTATGAGTAGCATGTTACGTCCGTACACAATACTCATCCAGACCCGCTTGTCCTAGCGACGCACATGGACCAACAAAATCTGTAAAGGTCATCATTAAGGGGTTCTAGACCGGAGAAGCAAAACCACAAAAGTCTTGCTTGATGGGAGACAACTCGCCTTAGCCAATACACGATCAGTGTTAGCTATCCATACCAATCAACCAACGAAAACTTCTGACGGTTAGCCATCACTGAGCAAGTCAGCTGGTCATAAGAGGCCCCGCCTCGTAGCTCTCTCACTACTTCCGAATTCAGTTAACCTGCTAACCTATTAATCTGACCTGACGAAACTCTTGTGTGAAAAGCGAAAGTTTGCCACCAGATGTGTCTCTAACCAAAACATCGATCAGTTTGTAAATGTGGAAAGACTGAGTAGTATGGTTTACAACCAGGCATTCGTCCGACTACCAATGGGTTGTGAGAATAGTCACGATAACTCATGAATAACATTATCAAAACATACGCCAGAATGCGAACCGATATTTATTCAGAGAAAACTCGGGTTTGTGAGCACACCTGTATTGCTCAGGAACCAACAGATAGGTTTACTAGGATCAAATAGCCGATAACACAAGTGCGATTCTAACAAAGTCAGGGACATGACCACGAGTCCATCGATAATCAAGGAAACTGACCAGGAACGACAAGAAAATTGTATCAACCCACCCATATGTGAGAAAAAGCGATGATCATCAGGGATAACGGTGGACCACAAGTGCGACTGACCACATATTTCGGTAACAACTGATGGGTATGAAATTCATAAACTAACGTGTGGGTTTTGTCGACGCGGAATTCTCCGTTCACATCACGATCTTCTATGTGTCTAAAAGGTGCTTATGACAGCAGTTTATCCACGTGGATCGGTTGCAGTCCGAGAGCGAAATAGTTTGTGAGTACTAATCATCGAGATATCCCTAGACAAGTCTTTCTTGAAATAGCCCTCCAGACTTACGAGATAGAGGACGTCTTGGCCATTTCCATCGACTAACTGTGTTTGGCTTGGGCTTCCTACTGAATGTTGTCCACGGTGTGACTGCAGTCAGTTTTTCGATGCTTGACCACAGACAGACTGACTTTGGCGAGCTCCGAACATTACCACTGAGTATCTCAGTCTGACATTCTTTTACTCAACGCGAATTGTAAGCCGGGTAACTCTAGAGCTTCATGTTTCACGAGGCTGGAACTGTTTTCGTAGTTCAAAGTGAACATTTGTTGGTAGAAGCGTATCGAGAAGTCGCCCCAGAATGAAAAAATCCGGATCTAGTTAACTAAACAGTGTGTAGGGGAATGTTTCTATTCTCCTAAAGGAAACTACTCACAAGGTTCCTGAAAATCCATTGAAAGCCCAGGACCGGTTTTGTCCTTCTTGGGGCTCATCAGGTAGGCGCAGTCCCCGAGTTTCCGTCAACCATATGTTCTACTTGAACCCAAATTGGACTGTTTTCGAGAAATACACTCATTTGCAAATCAATTTGGTTATCACGAGAGACTCAACTGAATCTCACGTTTATGTGCAGCACATTTAGCTGTAGAATATCCTAAACGGGAGATTCAATTGAGTATCTCGTGAAAACCAAATTGATTTGCAAATGAGTGTATTTGTCGAAGGTTCATTTCGTTTTCTATTGCGGTTAGTTGCATGATCTCTTCGACTAGTTCCGCTTCTGAGCTTGCACACACCATACAAGGGAAGTATTCGACTAGGGTTTCACTGAAATTGAATTTCGTCAGTAATGTCGGTGTTAGAACTCTAAGCAGGTGATACGTGAAACAAACGTGCTATCATCATCGCACACGGTAGGCTAAACTCATTTGAATAAAGGTACCTGAGCAGAAGAATATGCTTACGCTTGAGAGGTAGTACTGCTCTCCTCGAAGCCGCCAACTCAGTAATTATCTTGATTACTTCTGCGAGTTGCAGCTACAGACAGCTGGATCTTACTGCATAGCCTTTGATTGGTTTTAGACGCTCGTGGGTTCGAGTCCTGGCTTGGAAAAAACTGTTGGCTGCTAATAAGTACGGTGCAAATCTCGTGTTCTGTACTTTGTTGTGGATGATTGTTCATACAAGGCTGGCGTGAAAAAGTTGCTTGCTTTCACCTCTCACACCAGACTTCTTATTCTACGAAGGCTCCTGTTTCCTTGTTCACTGTATCCGACATTCGTATGCTTTGCGCTTCAGCATGCACAAACCAAACGAACGATTTTAAATTTCTTTTCACGTTTTCCAACTAAGAATGGTATCTACAGAACTTTAGCCTGTTTCAACGCATTTCAGCTTCAGTGTTGCCCATTTCACAGCTATTTTTATTCTCCTAGTCAAGTGCATGAAATATCGACCAAGTTTGTCTTTTCGTCACGTCCGTAACATCAAGCATTCTCCTCTTCTTGGTTGAGTGATTTTTACTCATTTTGGTGGAATTAATCACTAAGGGAAATGATCTTCATAGGAAAACAACAATTACAGACTATTGAACAGGAAAGCGAGACTCTCATATGCATCTTGTTTATGAAAACTGTGTATCCATTTTCTTCTCGAACAGGTCTCCCTGAATTTTACTGGATACTTATTGATCATCACTCAAATGTAAACGAATGCTACATAGCGATTCCACAAATTTCGTAACAAATCTCACTTTTCAATAGACGCAAAGCGGATTTGTGAGGAAATCACATACTACTCGCACGTCTCATCAGTAGTATCCACCGTCACACTAAGTCTTCCGCAAGGGAACCTGGTCATACGTCAGTGATTTTCCCACGCTTCTGACACCATCACCCTCATTAGTAGTGCTGGCCATAATACTCAAGTTAAATCACAAAACTTCGACGTTCTGTGTGATTTTACGATATCTATAATTTATAACCGCAGTTACAGATATGTGTCCTTATCAGTGATTTCGTACAAGACGTCACTGATTTTTCCCAACTTGTTTGCATTCCTTAAAATCTGATTTGGAGGGAGGGTCTGGCTTGTGTTCGGCAACTGCTGTCATGGTTACGTAGAGCCCTTGAGTTTTCCAGTTTTTTTGGGTTCATACAAAGTGCATACAAATCCAGGCGTAGAAAATTTTTGTAACTCATCTTAGGTGATAGAGCTGTTCGCCAAGCGTAGCAGTTGTTTCCTAAGCGATTCGTCACCCTTCTAGGTGATATCATCAAGGCGTACATGGCTAGCGATGGCGCGTTGTGTGAGCACTGTTCAGTGCTACGGTGTGATTACGTAAATCCTGTTGATCATTGCGTAAGGCGAGTTTTTTCAACTTTCCACTTGTCAGCATCCAGATAACCCTTGGCGGTTGTCCGACTGGTGTGAATGTCTTTAGGAATATGCGTTCTGCACGGAACAAAAGTTTGCCCAGGGAGGGAGTTCCAGTCTAGGACAAGACGGTCAATTTAGTGACAAAGCTCTAGGGCGACCTGGTTTACAATTCGCGTTGAGTAAAATAGTGTCAAAGTGAGATACTTGGTGATGCTGTTCAGAGCTCGGTAGAGTCAGTCTGTCCGTGGTCAAGCATAGAAAACCGACTACTTTACCGAGTTCTTTTTTATTCTGGTTATTTCGCTCCTCGAACTGCCGTGCCGTTGTGTGGACAACCTAATTTTTGTCCATAGCCACACCACTTTCGTTTGAACGGCCGTCTTCCTGTTCTGGCTTGATTATTCTGATGAGTCCACACCAAACAGGGAAGCACTGGACTCGAGTTTCGTTCTTATCAGAGCTCCTCAGAAGTGCATTCCCAATGGCCGTGCCGGGATTTGAACCGCAAAACCCCAAAATTGCAACCAAAATTCTGCCCAGTGGGTTTCAAGCGTGTGCCACGCTACCTAACCGGGAAGTCCTGACTGGCGGGTCAATTGATCGTCACAACCAGGACAGTTACTGTTTCGTCGTTCGATGAGTCGGGCATACCAATCACATCACTCAAGTGTGAACACGTTCGCCTGTTCAGAAGTGATAATTCAGATGCGTCCAACGTGCGTTGGTGGAGTGGTGGTTACACGCTCGCCTCTCATGTCAGACGTCCGGGGTTTAAATCCCGGCACGGCCATTGGATATGCACTGCTGATGGGCTCTAGCAAGAGCAAAGCTCGAGTCCAGTGCTTCCCCCGTTTGGTGTGGACTCAACGGAATAATTACGCCAGAAAAGGAACACTGCCTTTCGAACGATAGTGGTGTGACTATGAACAGAAATACCTATCCCGCGAAACCCCAAAATTGCAACACCCAGGCCCGATTCGTTCGCTTCGAAAACATCGACGCCATGGGAAATCATTTGCTTTTTAAGGGGTCTTGGTCCCAATAGGGTTGTGAACAACAGATTATAGTGTGTAACCTAGTCATCCAATCAGAAACACGGAACCTGGCTGCACGAACTCCAGCGTTTTGCTCAGACGTATTACGCAATTTCTGCTTTTTTGTGCTACGCCTTTCGCAGATGGACTGTTGTCTTTTGACACAAACAGTGTTGAAGGTCAGCACGTCTACCTCATCCTCACCTGCGGGTGTCGCTATGGACGAGAGGATTTGGACGTCCTTGGTCTGACACTCCGAAAAGATTTACTGATGTACACGAAACGAATTTGGCCAATAGGCCAAGAGCAAAGCCTAGTCGAAGTAAAGAAAAGAACAAGATATTGTCGGAGACGACGAAGAGAAGACTCCGACGCCAATTTGGACCGTCTTGGAATCTCGCAAGCAACTGCCGATACATCGAAACTATTCCCCAACGAAGAACAACGCTGCTTTGATAGTCAGGAGGAAATCCTGACCAAAGATTTTCATCTGTCGCTGGTCCAACGACGGCTGGTGATGAAACTCGGTGCGGAAGGACATCCTTTTCGAATATGCGTAAGTTTATATTGGCCTGTTTGATACTTGCCTGATTCTTTTTTCGTCGAGGCGCTATACACTCCATCCGCCCTTGGTGCACAACGTTAGCCTAATTCCGTCTACCGAGTGAATGTTTGCCTTTCGTAGAATTTGCCAAGTGTTGGTGTAGAGATATCCAGAAGCTAGTTCGTTTGTTTACAAATCATATCGTTACTTTCCTCGAATGCAAATTGCCAGGACACGTGTATCAGAAACACTGAAAATTCCCACGTGGACTGAATGACCTTTAACGGGGGCCATTACCAAACAAGTCCGAATAAATGGTCGGACGTTGGTTGAAACGGCCACTGATTTTTTCGTAATTGGATGCTTATCTCCAATTGCGAATTTTTAAGGTGTACATTGGTGAGTCTGTTTTAAGTTGGAGTGTTGAATATTGAAACGAATAAAAAGGTAATGTAACATTCATCGTTCGGCAGGCAAGATTTGGGTAGGTCTGGGCGTGTGGAGCTGACAATCAGAGTTTGTTATAACCGAGTCCTTGTCAGCTGTGTGCATCGAAGATACTGCCTTGGGCTACACGTTTGTCAAGCCAAGAGCCTGAGGCAAATATCTTGGCGTATTCACGCACTCGACATGGTGAGCTGGCGATCAAAACATCGTCAACCTTGTTATCCGAAGGCGGTGGGCTTAGAGGGAGTCAAAGTGAGTAATTAAGTAAGTATTAAATAAATAAGTAGGTAGGTAGGTAAGTAAAGTATAACTCAGACGTAGTAGGCAAATAAACCAGTAAATGTGCAGAAATTACATAGCTGCAATCGTGTCTGCTGCTACAGTCCTCTTATGTGCTATTGTTTTTCCGTGATATCGATCTTCAAATTTGTATTGATGATGTAAGCGGGTTCGGTGATGTTGTGATGTAGTGGAGATTTCATCCTATCGGTGAAACCAGTCTGTGCGGAAAAACTGAGAAGCAGTGTATAGCTGTTCCATCCATGTTGCATCCATGTTCCATCCAGCAGCGCGCGTCTCACGAAACTCGAGGAGTTTCGAAAGTATGATCTTTCAGCCAGTGGTTGAATGGTTAGAACTTGAGCGGCTAAGTAGATTTAACTTAAATGGGGTATACCGCTTGGCATCATTCCATCACGGAATCCACGTCACGCGTCCACCCACTGACACACCTTGAGTGAGTAGTTCTCAGAAGGAAGTTTCACTCATCATGTGAACGACTACTTGGGGCGAACTTACTAACAACATGTTCAGGAGAGGCACAATTCACAAATTCATCCTCACGGGACACGTGACTTTACTTTGTCCGGAAAACCCTCCCTCTACCATGAGGGAGGGTTTGCGTTGCCATTCAGTGTTATCCATTCAACCTGTCATTTACGCTATATTTATCCAGCACAAGAGACAACGGAAAAGAATTTGTTCAACATTTGATCTTCCAGTGAGCTTCTCAGGACCCTCTGACGTAGTTTCCACACAGTATCGCTTTCCTAATTATGTTTCCACAAGAATGAATTGGTCCACTTGAAATAATGACGTCAAAATATTTTTTTTACTCTTAGACGTCATAGCCAGGCCTCCCGTGAAAACCAAATTAGTATGCAAATCAAAGTAGTAAGCTAATTTCGCGGAATTCGGTTACGAGGACTGTGCATATCTGATGAGCCCAAAAAAGGGTAAAACTTGTTATGAACTGTCAAAGCGTTTTCAGCAACCACATGAGTAGTTTGTCACATCCACATTAGCAGTGCTGATTTAGTCCTGAGTAGACCCTTATCATGATGTGTCATCCATTCTAGTTTAGTGTGAGCATTTTAATTTTTTGTCCTCTACAGCGAGAACTAATTTCTTTTGCTAAGTGAAGTCGGGTTTTGCGGCAACGGAACCATAGAAGGTTGCGAGTCCAAGGTAACCTGTGGATACCGAGGGGCTTAAACAAAGTTTCACTGCATTCATAACAAGGATAAATTGGAAGAAAATAAAATCGAACAATCAAAGGTTGGAAAAACCATTAGATTTAAGAGAGGGAGCACTTGACAGCTACTCTGATTTGCACATGAATTTGATAGGAGACTCAACTGAATTCAGCTGAATTCATCGTTTGTGATGGTAGAGTATTACGTCCAGACAAGCGGAATTCGACTGTCCGACGATCGAGTCGGATGAATGAGCAACATAACAGCGCAAGGGCTGACAAGTGTAGATTACACAGCATTTTAAATGACAGTCCGTCACTCGAGTTAAAAAGAAACAGAAAATTTCGAAAGTAAAATCAGTCTTTGAGGAAGAGCCGAGAATCCCTGTGCAAATGTTTTTCATGACTCTCCAGGGGGGATGGCCTCTCAAACCCCTGGTTAAGAGTTGAATATTAACGAAAGAGTAATCAGTAGTGTGGCTGACTTTTACTTAGGCTTATAAACATAACTCTTGGTAAGAAGCAACCAACAAGAATATAACAATAAAAGTCACACCTGGAACCTTTACTCCCCAAGACGTGAAGCCCTATGGAGTTATTTTATCCCTTCTGGGAAAAATCAGTAGTGGACACTCCACAAAACTCCGGAGTCGTTGTTCTAGGAACCAGTCACACGTGTGACCACGTGATGTGGATCCCGTGATTGAAGAATGAGTCTGAACGCCAGTTAATCACACTAGCGATCAGCCGTTCGTGGTTGTTGTGACCACGGTGGATCCCGTGATTGAAGAATGAGTCTGAACGCCAGTTAATCACACTAGCGATCAGCCGTTCGTGGTTGTGTTCAAACCATTAGGCGAAGGCTTCGTGGATTTTCATGAGAACACCGCTTAAAGGTGAATATCTTCCGTTTTTTCTACGGTTCGATTTTCAAACTATCAAATCCAGGACAGGGATCACTTTCGACAGATCCACTCTAATGGTCTCTTGATATCAGAACAACTGTGCATATGCCCAAATGTTTGTCCAAACACTTCGTACTCGGACGCACTATTCACAATAAGTTACTAAAATCCGCGCATGCCCGATCGATTCTCCCATTTGCTTTTTTCGGTAATTAACCGTGTTCTGACAACTGCTTCGAGTTTTAAAAAAACAAGCATTTTATTCACCAGATAGCCTAAAAAATATCGAACGATACAAACAATTGACATTTAATTAAGAAAAAAATGGTTCTGGGCTATGAAATACATCTATAGATTCATCTTCATCAAGCAATACAAATGGCAACCAACTAAGTGAATATGTTCGCGTAGAGAAATGAATTATAAGCTTCACTCAACACAGGCATTTTCGCATTTTGTGGAAAAGTATTTTTCATTTGGATAAATCGTGTGCATAATTTTCCTCATAGGGTGTCCTCACAGCTGCCGAAATGGTCGACAGTAGGGAGTGGATGCACGCGCGTCGCGATTGGTTCAAATTATCGACGCATTATCGACCCATGCGTTGTATCGACCGCCTTATTCCTCTCTTGATTGGAAAATAGGTACTCACTAGTTTGATGCAACAGTGTTCCTGCTGTCCAATAAAAGTTTACCCAAAACCAGATGGTCTCTTCTGGTCGGGAGCAGACGATTCGTGAGTTCTTTGCTCATGTATTGATGCTACATATGCTCCAGAATATTTGGCGACGTAGATGTTCCACATGACAACAAAGTCTCTTCTTATTAGGGTGGAAGAGGAAGCTGAGTTTGAACAAGGAGAAGGGTATTACAGACACAAGGCAAAATATACTTCGGATGGACTATCTTCGGATTGTTATCTCAGAGAAATGAATGAAATACGAGTCATGGGATCGTATGGGTTGTTGTCACGATGACAGCAATGTGGGCTAGTCTTCTAATATTCCATCGTGTTGGTGGCATATCCTTGGAACATATTGACTGTCGTCTGCTAGCCTTTCAAACACATGTGCTTAACTGTAATGCCATGTATGCTGTGGCTTGTCAGCTACTCAAATTGCCTTGCAACCTTCTATTATGGAATGTTCTATTCGCGTTGCGTTTGTTATTTCAAATGATTCATACCGATCAGGAGATGAAAATGTCTGGAAATATATACTCCACCGTCGCTTTCTTTTTCCCCTGTTGTAACTGTACCCTGTGATTTTGGGCAGTTCGTGTGTTTTAGGGGCTGTGTTGCCCATCGTCATCAGAGATATCCGAAATTCGATACATTCTTTTCCCATTTTCAGCTTCCACCATTTTCTCCCTCTTCGGTAACAGTTCAACCGATGGATGAAGATATGGAGAACGTAAGTAAGGCAGTAGCACGGTCATACTCAAAGCGCTCACCCGTATACAATGATGACGAAGTTTAACGGTTGAGTTGACGCTAATTGAATGCAATGGTGAAATTTTGAGGAGGGGAGGGAGAGGAATACTCAGATGGGATTGCTTTGGTCCTAATTCTGGATCTCAGTGAATAAACATCACGCTAAGTGTTATGAATCACTCTAAGGTGTGGGAAAAGACTAATCGACCCATAAGGAAAATCTAAGCACTGTCTTTTGGAGAGCCTCAGGGTGAATGTGAATGTTACATTTCTGATTCTTTTAGGTAATATCAGTCACTAAGGTACATTACTTTAAGCCCAAAGAAGTACCTTCGAAGAGAGGGGGTTTCCGAAACGGGGAGGTGAGTGTTGTGCACCAAAAAAGTCTACCTGTTCAAGGACAACATTTCGGGTAGACGCTGCACCACTGCGATTTGCCTTACTCGATGGTAATCAATCTCAGCTGTGACAGTTTAGCGCTAAGACAAAAGCTTGTGATAAAACTGTCCTCTTTGGATAATTTCCTTCCGGAAAACCGAACCCAACTGACAACCTCCGAAGAAGATACCAAAACCATTTTTGGATTTATTGAGATTATTGAATTCCTAAAGCGGAACCAACACTCGAAGCGTCGTCAAACGATTGCAACGGATTTTGGCTTTTGACAAACACGTGTGATGAATTTCAAACGAAACCGGTACCCAGCTCAGGGGGTCGTCTCTTACCTAGGACTGCGATGCCCATCGCTTCATCCAACCTACCTCGAGGTAGGCATGCACAATGAGCTACGATGCCAAAATGTTACGCCATCTGATGGAAGACACTGGTGGCTCCTGTGTCCTGCTGAGTTCTTGCATTTGGCTGCGATTCATGTGCTGTTTAGTGTTGTTGGTTAGCGCCGAATAGTACGTGTTACTGGGTTATCCCTGTTGCAAAAGACCGAAATGGGGAAGCTTCTGAGTTATTTACGAGCACTGCACTGGATGACTTCCTCAAAAATGACATTCTCGATAAGCGGTGCAATTTCCTGTGATAGTCAACCAGGGACTCAGGTTCCACCCCCTTCTGCGTGTTTGTACGAGACTTCATTTGAATCCTCCAGCTACTCCCGAAAGGAAGAAGGCCTTCATCGCGGAGTTATTTATCGAGAAACACCAACTGAACAATAACAGACTGTTGGACAGGGAAACAAAACTATCATATGCATCTTGTTTATAAAAACTGTGTATCCGTCTGCTTCTCGAACAGGTCTTCCTGGACTTTCCTGGATACTCATTGACTATCACCCAAACTAAGCGATTCCACAGAATCCGTAATGAATCTCACTCTTCCATGGATGCGAACTGGAATTATGAGAAAACCACATACTACTCGCATGCTTCATCAGTAGTACCCACCGTTATAAAACCTTGGTCTTCAAAGCAGACGGAGCGGAATCTAGTCAAATCTATCTTTCATTAGGTTGTTCGGCTGGATTCGATTATTCAAATTAGATGAGTAGAACAAAAGAATTGACAGAGCCCCACGGAACGCATCTACCTGAATAGAACCAAGAAGGGCGAAAATGGATGCGCGCTGTCGCAGTCTTGAGCGACCTCGTGAGTAATGTGGGACTCTTGGTTTGCACTTAAAGGCCTTGAGCGTAACACTGGGTAAGTCTGTACATTGTCCGGACCAGACGAAACTTTGTTGGCACTACGTTCATCGTACCGATCTTTCAGGCCTGCAGTTGTAGGGAATGCTCACACACACGCGCGCACGCACGCACCACTGGGTCGAAGTGGACCGTACTCACTTGCTGATAAACGTCATGACAGTAGACATTCAGGAATCTGTCTTTTCCAAAAAAACATTTTTGCATATTTTTTCTGCCCCAAGCTTTAAAAACGCCATTACCGAAAGAAAGACGTTCTTCCTGGTCCAAGTTTGTATGGAACAAGTTTGAAGTCCGAAGAATCGCGAAGGTGGATAATCCGCACAGTCTGTCTAAAGATGAAGCGGCTTAGAGGCCTGATAGGTCGCCTACACACTTGTGCGTTCAAAGCAGGTAGACTGTTTCGTGACTTATAATCACAAATTTGTGCGGGTAGAGTTGAAGCTATCATAAAGACCGTCAAACTGTTTATTATTGAAGATGGCGATAAAAGCTTCCGTCTGGCGTTCTAACAATAAGAACTTTCTTTCAAGTATTCTCATAAAACTATTCACCCGTTTTGGAACAGCCATCAGTCAGACTATTGCTACACTGTCCACCCGTCCCTAGATGTGTTGCCGGACCTAAAGCTGCCACTTCGACGTCGTGATCGGGCTTCAGTGCTGCAATAATCTCGCGGGCTACACTGGCTGGAACTTCGTTCCACAAGGTACAACCATGCCAGAAAGTTCAAAGGGGAGCAGCCAGACCAAGAGCAGCGAGACCCCGTACTACGAGTAATCGTGCAACGAGGCGGTCTGTTGGTAAAGTCGTACTGTCCTCTGTGACAGGAGTGTAAATGCAGTAAGGTGTTTCCCCCAGGCGACCGGCATGTCCATATTTATGGAAGCAGCGATGCTGCCTTCCCCCGAGGAAGGACGGGTTAGGAAAGACCGGCCACAAAAACCGCACACTCCGATCGCCCAACGGTTGACCGTGACCGCCGCCGCATTGTCCAATACGGTCGAAATACTTTTAAAGCCAAAGAGCCCGGTGCTGCTCAAAAGGCACTTGCTGTGCGCAGGTTGAGTCGTCGGCTCTGGGCAGGGTCCCCAAACAAAACCCTACATTCTCCCACTGTCTCGTGGGTCAGAATTTTGAGTCAGAGGCAAGAGTCAGGGCTCCCGAACAAAACCCTACGTCCTCTTACTGCCTTGTGGGTCAGACTTTTGAGTTAAAGATTCAAGGTGGGGTACCTCAACCAAGCCCCCTTCCTCGACCTAGGCAACCGGGAAGTATCATTTGCCCGCGCAGTCCAGCGTCCACCGATGTTCCTCCCCAACCCCTAGATGTGTCCTTCAAAACAAATTGATAGTTTCCTACATATAGCACAAGTGCGTCTTTAAATCTGCTATCAAGGGCCAAATACGCCGGTTCGCACACCAATTTGACGGGAGACTCAACTAAAGTTGACAGAAGCTCCTATCTCGGGCTGTCAAAGTATTTTGAGCAACCTTACGAGTAGTGTATTGCGTTTATACGCCATATCTCCAACATTGTACCGGATGAAACATCATTCGGACTTTGTGCAGCCCATTCAGCTGAGAAATGTTACAAACCGAGGGATTCTGTTGAATTCACTTGTTCAAGTGGAATTATTTTGTCGGAAATCTGTCCAATTTCGGTTCAGGCCGAACATGAGGCTGACGGAAACTAGGCGAACGAATCTACCTAATGAGCCTCGAGAACTGCAAAATCGGCCGTCAGACAGGTATCAGCAACCTTGTGAGTAGCATGTTACCTCCAGACGAATAAACTCATAGCATTAGACAGCTTCCCCGAGTATTGATTTGGTATCTGTTCCGTTGCACGCTTAACTGAATAACCAAGCATATTTGACTGAATTTATCTAAAAAAATCGAACGAACTAACCTGCTGATCAGCAATACTGGCTTAAAGCCTACTGCCTCCGTACCTCCACCTAAAGGACTGTGAGATCAGTTCTCGTAACAGATTTGTCAGTTAACGCCCTAAGGATCCTAACAGAGTTAACCATGTGCGCCTCAGATTTTCAGTGCGCGCGTGCGCGCACACACATTCAGAGGAAGAGTGTAAATAGTTTTCCAATCCTTCAGGTTAAAGCGAGATAATGCTTTGCTAATCTCATATGATCCCTTTCCTTTCTCCCTCACACAGCTTTGTGGTGTCACCTATGACGTATGTGCCTTCATTGGAAAAAGACTGACGGACGTAAACAAGATGAGGTGGGTTTCTTCGGAACTTCAAACCGATCCCCCGGGTTCTGATTTTTATCCTGGAATGAGTTGGAACAGAGTTCCGGTGAATTATTGAATTCATCACAAACCCTTGGGGGGATAGTTGCTTAAACGCCCTTTCGTCAACCGTACATTCGCCGCTGTCCGTGTTCGTCATCTCCACCAAAAATAACTCCATCAATTTGCTACCGATATTTTTATTCGGAAAAAATAAACAGCCTTTTCGCACATTTGACATTCAACCGACCGATTCATCACCCGGAGAAATTAATTTTAGCGTTGTGCTCCGTAAACCATGCACTTTGGAGAAATAGATAGATAGATAGATAGATAATAGATAGATAGATAGATAGATAGATAGATAGATAGATAGATAGATAGATAGATAGATAGATAGATAGATAGATAGATAGGTTAATAGATAGATAGATAGATAGATAGATAGATAGATAGATAGATAGATAGATAGATAGATAGATAGATAGATAGATAGATAGATAGATAGATAGATAGATAGATAGATAGATAGATAGATAGATAGATAGATAGATAGATAGATAGATAGATAGATAGATAGATAGATAGATAGATAGATAGATAGATAGATAGATAGATAGATAGATAGATAGATAGATAGATAGATAGATAGATAGATAGATAGATAGATAGATAGATAGATAGATAGATAGATAGATAGATAGATAGATAGATAGATAGATAGATAGATAGATAGATAGATAGATAGATAGATAGATAGATAGATAGATAGATAGATAGATAGATAGATAGATAGATAGATAGATAGATAGATAGATAGATAGATAGATAGATAGATAGATAGATAGATAGATAGATAGATAGATAGATAGATAGATAGATAGATAGATAGATAGATAGATAGATAGATAGATAGATAGATAGATAGATAGATAGATAGATAGATAGATAGATAGATAGATAGATAGATAGATAGATAGATAGATAGATAGATAGATAGATAGATAGATAGATAGATAGATAGATAGATAGATAGATAGATAGATAGATAGATAGATAGATAGATAGATAGATAGATAGATAGATAGATAGATAGATAGATAGATAGATAGATAGATAGATAGATAGATAGATAGATAGATAGATAGATAGATAGATAGATAGATAGATAGATAGATAGATAGATAGATAGATAGATAGATAGATAGATAGATAGATAGATAGATAGATAGATAGATAGATAGATAGATAGATAGATAGATAGATAGATAGATAGATAGATAGATAGATAGATAGATAGATAGATAGATAGATAGATAGATAGATAGATAGATAGATAGATAGATAGATAGATAGATAGATAGATAGATAGATAGATAGATAGATAGATAGATAGATAGATAGATAGATAGATAGATAGATAGATAGATAGATAGATAGATAGATAGATAGATAGATAGATAGATAGATAGATAGATAGATAGATAGATAGATAGATAGATAGATAGATAGATAGATAGATAGATAGATAGATAGATAGATAGATAGATAGATAGATAGATAGATAGATAGATAGATAGATAGATAGATAGATAGATAGATAGATAGATAGATATATTGATAGATGGATAGATAGATAAATGTGCATATATTAGACAAATGGACAGATAGATTGACAGATAGGTGGATAGATAGATAGTTAGATAGATAGATATATGGCACTTCAAGCTAACAATACGGTGTAGATTGATACACGCGATCTGTGGTTTACGATTAAGAATAACACTAACTGCTAATTTTTATTTCCACCTTACCTACAGCTCCGTTTCTATGCTGATTCGAAAATTGACAAGAGGACCGCCTATCGATCTTCGACCAAGTCAGACAATCACGTGCTGCGGTTCCCGCTCCCCGGTTCTTTCCTGCCTTGGTAACGTCACCATGTGTGCTTCATTAAACAAAACGGTAGGTAGTAAGGGATGGTTGTGTAACAATATCTCTCCCGAATCCTGAAACACATTCATTTTTTTGGGAGTCTGACATTTTTCAGCAAACGTGTGTTCGAACCGTCCGAATACCTAGAAACCCCAGTCGAAGAATACAACTGGTAACGTCGGTGCAGAACGTTTAGTTCGATAGTAAGCCCACTTTTTCTAAGTTTGTCGTTCTGAGTGATGATCGGACGAAATCACAAGTCAACTTTGGAAGTTCTACGAAGCGGACGCTCTGAGATCGTTCCGTCTTGTCGTCACCTACAGCGATATCATGTTCCCCAAATCGTGCGATGAAACTGGTGGGCAGAAAACTTTGCCGCAGTTTCAAACTGCCGGCGTTTTCTAATTCGAAACATTGTTCACAAATCTCTATTTCAAAAATTCACAAAAGTGTTTCCTGATCAGACGCTAAAAGTGACAGTGAAAGCACTCGAATTATGGGTTTTATCATCAAAACGGACCGTTGGTGTACAAAGTTTCCTTGCGAGAATCGAAAAATGTTTTTCCCACAGTGACCAAGTTTGTATTTAGTTCGTGCTTTGATGGGAAAATGGGCGTTTTTTCCATGGAGGAAAAGATCGTAACTCGGACTGAACAAGTTACACAAAACATGAACAAAAAATTAGCGTCGGAGCGTTTTCAGCGACCTTGTGAGTAGTTTTCTTCATGAAAATATGCTACAATGAGGCGGCTCTTGCGCGGCACATTCGGTTGCACAGTACCGCAAACGAGAAATCTAGTTGACAAAAGTGATATGCGAATCACTGCAGTTGTCTCACGTGCTAAACTCGTTCTGGCAAACTCAGTGTAATCCGATTGTTGTTGGTTCATTTCGCAACAGTACTCAGCAGAAAAAATTCCATTTTGTTTCCAACAGAAACTAACTCCAGCCAGTAATTAGAGCACAGCGGCTTTGGACAACGCCTACGCACAGCTTGCCGCGAATTTAAAACACTGAATAGTCTTAGGGGATGACGTAAAAGTCTATTGGAAATGCGAGAACGTCCGAACCGCGGATGGCTGGTCAGTGAGAGAGAAAGAGAAAGGATAAAACGAAATGCCGATCTAGCCAATCCGCTTGCTGCTCAATACAGTCGGTTTCTAAATCGAATTCTAATCACGCGGTTAGAGTGTAATTGCATTCATAAAGTCCTTTGTTTAGTTTAAATTCAGTCGAGAATTTGGGAAATTTCCCAGCCTATTGGAATTTAATCAAGGCAGCTGTCTCAGTACCTGGTGTATAGAGAGAGGGAAAGTCTTTGTAAAACGTCTACAAGGTTTAATTAAGAATCCGTTCGAAACGATAGTTTCAAAGGACGGTTTCCCGTTCAAATCCAATGAGTTTTGTAGTCTTGACTGTCAAGTGCAGTGCCTCACTGTGGTGTTTTTCTCTGAACAGCGGGAAAAATGGTTCCCAGTTTTCTTTGGGAGAATTTGTTTCAAAGCTGGATGAAGCGTTCAGTTTGAACCATTACTCCGCTTTGAGGAGGAGACCATCAGAACGATCTGCCTCTTGATGTTGTACGAACGTTCCCCACTTGGGTGCCTTGCTGCCAAGCTGCCGGAAGGAAACACAAGGGCTGAGATACTGCCGGGTTACTCAAGCAGAGACAAGAGCAGTCGAGATATCGTTGTTGGGTTCGAACGTTTTGGTCACGTGACGATCTTCCGTTTTCGGTTTTTAGTCTGAACATCGGTATGGGTTCTACGGAACAGACAGATCCTTCCACCGAGCTTTTCCCCTCAAAACTGGAACCACATCAACCACAAAAGCGATTTAATCTGAAGGTGAATTCAACGTGAATTCTACAAATCCCAGACACACCTACAACTAATCGGAAATAATCCACCAGGATTCAAGCGTCCGTGTGGCTAACTGACGGGACAGTCCTGACAGACGGGTCAATATATCGGCGCGACAAGGAAAGTTACGGAACTTTCTTTTGGGGCGTCGCTAAAGTGTGGAGAGGTTTGCCTGTGCAGACGTGAAAAGTGTGATGCGCACAGCATCCGCCGCTATTCGAATGTGATTGTTTGGTGTTCAAACTGGGCATGACAAAGCTATGGTTTGGGTGAAACTTGTGTCCGGTGCCTCCTTGCCAGAATAACCGTGTCAGAGAGGAGGACGACCGTTCAAACGAGAGGTATTGACTAACCAGAGATGTCACTCACCCAACGGATGGATTGATGCTTGTGACCACGCTGACTGGTATTCCTCCATTTGGCTGTGAACAGGAACTTCCTAGTTCATGGCATACCAATATGATTTTCACGGCGGACTCAACTGAATTTCAGATGGAACTCTCGTTTAGGATAATATTCTCTTAGTGAATGCTCTGCACTTGGCCGGCTCACTTTTCAGTGGTCTCGATACACCAGTATCGCGACAAATTGTATAGAAATATCATGCTACTCATAAGGTCGCTGAATATGGACAGCGTTTGTGGAGCAGAAAAAAACCATCATCAGACGGCAGCGCTCAACTGTCCAAAGCCATCAGATTGCGGCTGGTTTTAGCTTCAACATGTCAGGACTGTTTTCATACACAGTATATCCAGTGTATCCGAACTCTGATCACGGATGTCCTGACGAAGCAACTGTCCCCAGGTAAACGTACACTTCCAATTTAGGAACTGCGAAGATCTCCATATGAACTCTGCGTCCACACGGATTTCCGGCATAAGAGTTGCCCTTCTTTTCAAAGTTTACATCAGCTAATAAAACCGATCAATTTGAACACTTGTTCAAATTAATCCTCTGGAATTGCGAGCATCCACCCGAGTTCGTTTTTGAAAGGTCCTCGCCAAGTTCGGCTCGGCACGTTTGCTTTTGTGTCAAATGCAGATGAAGGCACTCATTTGAAATTTAATTTGGTTTTGCGAGAGACTTACCTGGAACCCAGCTGAATCTTTCGTTCGTCATTTTACTTATAAGTAGTGCAGTACGGATGTACATTTATCACGATACCTCGAATATCGTAGCAACTGAAACATAAGGCGACCTGATGCAGCACATTCAGTTGCCTGGAAACATCAGAAACGAGAGATTCAGCCGGGTTCCAGGTGAGTCCCTCGAAAAACCAAATTAGTTTGCAAATGAGTGTATATTCGCTAATTTCTTGCAATTTGGTTTCCAGTAGAACGTAAAGGTTGACAGAAACTCGGAGACTGCGCCTACCTGATGAGCCCGACGCGAAACCGGTCGTGGGCTGTCGACGAATTTTCAGCAACTTAATGAGTAGTGCATTACCAATATACGGATGAAAGCACTTTGCAACAAATGATACCAGGGTTGTGTGTTGCCCTCTGGGTTCCAAATGAGACTTTCGCAGATTTACAGGTTAGCCATAGAAATTCGCTGAAACATTTGTAAAGCGCTGATATACTTTATTTGACCACCAACACAACAACGATAACGAAAAAAGATTACCAAATTGATTTGAATCAATACTACTTGGAAATTCAAACAGTAGAGTACATTTGTTCCAGTCGTGGTAGATAATAATCATTAGTGTGCCTTCGCGAATCCATAGAGAAGTTCGAACCCGTAATCTTACGATTTCTAGTTGAAAGTCCTAACATCCGTCCAAGAGGAGGCTGATTGACTCTCACATGGGTTCCAGCAACGCAGTTTGCGTCACGTGATCGCCCCGGCTCCACTAGTGAGGGGGTCCCAGATAACAGTCTCGAATCGACTGAGTGAAATTTCATCCTTTCTGATCGCATGATTTGCACTTAGACGAGAGACAGTGTATTTTCAGAGTTTTGGCTATTTTTTACCTTACGTGTATGGTTCACATTGACGGCAAAAGTCGTCCAGATGTAGCACCCTTTCGGTGCCTAGCTACGATACCACCCGAAGGTTGCCCGAGGGCTGGGATACTGCCGGGTTTTCCAAGCCTAGACAGGATGAGTTGAGGAACAGAGAGAAGTCGGGTTCGAACCGCGGACCTTTCGGCCAGTAAATTCGCGCTCTAAACACTTGCCAAAGTTAAACAATGACAAGGCAGGGAATGGTGAAATACCGACTTGAACCGACAACATTTCCACACTTTATGTAAACGTAGTCTAGTGGAGACTCTTAATCTGGACAGCACGAGACCGCGACTTTTCAGGTAAAGGCAACCAATTAGTCTTGATTGCAAATTATGTGGTGCCCAGGCAAGATCGGATGGCAATGAGTCAAGTCTTGCAGTGGTGTCCCTGACGCCGGAAAGGATCTCTGAGTTCCAACTTCTACGGCGCAAATGTCTTGACTACTTATGGCAGCAAAGAATGACCTTTGGTGTTTTGATGATTTGGTGATTACTTTTGGTGATTTTGGTGATTTACTTTAGGTTCTGGTAATTCATGAGCTACAGGACCTCGCATTCGGGGCCCGTGACGTCGATGAATTCCTTTTGTGTCCGCAAAATATGGTGGGTTTGTTCTCGTTCTTTTGGAGGATTTGAGACAACACATGATCAGCTTGAGGTGCTTAAATAATACAGTAACAAGACAGTTCAGTTAACCGTTTGGCAACCTAGATTCATCTTAAAATCTCGAGATAGCGCTTCTCTACGAGTTGACATTCATGCAAGGAACATGGGAACATGCGATGTCTGACTACTGCTCGGAATTAAGAGTGATCCCCAATTGCCTCCACTTTAAATACTACTTCGTCGTCAAAGGGTCATGCACGGCAGCATTACTGGTTTGACAACTCATCCCCTCGTGACCTACATAAAAATAGCTGTGAAAACATAACACACTACTCATAAGGTCGCCCAATCGTTTTTCGATATCCCACGGCCGATTTCGTCCTTCGTGTGGCTCATCAGGTAGGCACAGTACCCAAGTTTCCATCAACCTTATTCTTGAACTCAAATCGAGGCTTTCGTGTATTACATTTTGTCGAAGAATATCATAACCGAGAGGTTCAGCAAGGTTCCAAGTAAGCCTCCCTTGAAACCAAATCGGCACGCAGATGGGTGTTTTGGTCGAAGATGACTGTAACTTCGACACTAATCTATCACCGAAAAATATGTCCATACTTTGGGACTATAAAACCGTTACTATTTTTAGTAGCTCAATCGCTATAATGAGGCCGTCCAAAACGCCCTTCATAGGTAAAACCGAAGCTATCGCCTAAAAAACGCCACAAATCGTTTGATGGAAAATCAAAGCAGAACTCTGGAGATCAGCAATCAGATCGTGGTTCAGCTAAATGAAATCTCGCACCTGGGAGCACCTTTTAATCCCATTTCGGATATCTGATGTCTTGAATCATATCTAAATTTGTTTCTGATATCTAAGAGTAAACCAAAGAAAGATGATAGATCTCATGATTTCTGAGTGAGTAAGGCGATCTTCTTACGGCGGAAAAACACATGAGAAAACTACTAATAACGGCACTCAACTCATGGAATGTAGATCACACTTCCCTGTTGAACACCAGCTGTATAAATTTAGAGGGAGATCCTAGGTGAGCCTAAAGCGCAGGACAAAACAGCTTCGATGGAATATCGTGTCAGACAATCAGACACCAGGCAGAATCTCTCGCTTATGATGTTTTTCCTAAAGGAGATTTTAGTAATCTTATGAGTAGTGTGCTACGTCTGCACAGAATTTCATATGACTGATTTCTAAAGAAACTGATGATGGGGAGATCTGTTGCACGACAAAGGGGAACATGGGAAACAAAAGATTTTTTGGGTCTCTCGCGAAAACCAAATCACCATGCAAATGAAGCAAAGAGAATCTTACAAACAAATTGTCGTAAAGGCTTGTATCAAGCTCTGCTAGTTCCTGAAATCTACTGTGAAGAGCTGCCACCTGATAGGATGATAGACACTGAAGCGGCTTTGGCGTTACACTTTAACATATGCAAAGTATTCTCCACTGTATATCGGTTGGTTACCTTTTGATTTGTTTGGTTCATTAAATAAAAAATATCAATCCGACACAATGAAATGCCAGATCAAGAGTTTTCAGCAACCTTGTGAGTAGTTTCCTTTACGAAAATAAGACTCACAGCATAGTTCGTTTCCCCTCTGTCATAGCTGTACTATCATGGTGAGGACGTCACTGTTGATGTGAGCATTGAAAACCTGTCCCGTTGTTCAGTCCGAAAAGTTCGTGTTACCGGTAAGTCGTGGAATTTACTTCAGCAACCATCGTGAGTCTCAGGAGCAGCTTATGTTTGAACCACAAGATACTGACGTTTATTTATCCACGTTTTTTGTTGGTGTTTCACTCGCAAACCAACACGTTGAAACCGTCGAACTTCAGGTTATATACAAACTTGCATTTGTCAAAACAAGTAGCCGACATTTAGACGAATCAACTGCCTTTAGTCCGATCTGACTTTCGAATTGGTAATTTGTTGAAATATTGGTAGCTCGGGTGAGTTTCTTAGTTGTTGATCAGGTGGGTGTTGATCTGTTCACCGAGCTTGGCAATTGGCTTGCAAACGTTTCGTCACCATACGAGGAGACATCATCAGTGCGCGGTTGAGTAGGTACTTCTTCCTTGCCTGCGTTCGTTTATATGGCATTCGAAGGCTATCTGTTATCTTCTGACGTGATTGGCTACCTAAAGCGCAACAAATTTGGTGAATCTATTGGTCCGTTTTGTGATCTTGTTGCGTTGTGGTCTGCGTTCCTTTGTGCTGATTGGTTATCCTACCGCCATCTGTTTTTACTAGTCCGTTCTCTCCGGCCTTAGCTTGCATTGCACTGTGGCCCGACGTTCTCGAGTTTGATTGGTTGCTTGCGCCGCCCTATTTCCTCCACCGTAGCGGTTAGTGCCCCTTCGTCCGTCGGTTGATTTGGTGCCTTAATTGGGCGCTTCCTCCAATCTTATTGATGCGTCCGTTGGAGTGTTGCTTTCCTCCTTCTCTTATGAATTCCTCGTCTGAATAATTTTTCAGCTCTAAGCTCGGTGGTTCTGGAGCTCTCTCGCTCTTAGTGGCTGGTAAATGGGATCAATTTCAAAGAAGCCATCAACAAACATATCAAACTTGATCCCATTTACCAGCCACCAAGAGCGACAGAACTCCAGAACCCCCGAGCTTAGAGCTGCAAAATTAACCAGACGAGGAACTCAACAGGGTCGATATCGGTAGTGGTGTTTTTTGAAGACCTTTTCCCAACTTCGGGAGTATTTTTAAAACCGGAGTAGTTGTTCCATCGAATGTCTTTTATCCAATCAGTCGTGGGCAAGACCGCACCAGCGATCGATATCACGTGATTTATTCGCGCTAGGAGTACAAGTTTTTTAAGCTTTGTTCACCGAAATCCTTGAGAAACCCTTCAGTGATTGACATTAAATTTTCTTTTTGACGACTTATGTCTGTGTGCAAGACTGTCGGTCAAACAAAGTCTACACTTTCGCGTATGCACCCAAAAAGTTGATCCTAAATGAGTTGTTTTTGAGGAGTTCCTCAGAGAAACGTCAAAACTCAGCCTAAAAACTTGAAGAACAAGGAAATTAGAAAGTACCTGCGAAGGATAGATCTAATTAACGTATAGCACTAACGATTCCGATCGATCTGGTTTCTCTTATGGAAGTGGGTGCTGTTAGCAGTTCAGTAAAGTGGAAAGGAATCTTTCAAACTCTACCTGTCTTCAGACGAGTACTCTCAGTTGCGCACGAATTTGGCCTTGACAGAAGACTCGACTTAATCCAGCTGAACCATGAATCAGAGATTCAACTGCATTGTCTCTTGTCATTGCAAACGAGAGTAGTTGTCATAGTGTGTCCAATTTGGGTTGAAGTAGAACATACGGTTAACGAAATCTCGGGGACCTTGTCTACTTGATGAGCTGCCAGAAAGATGACACCAGTCGTGGATTTTTTAAGAGTTTTCAACAACATTCTGAGTAGTGTGCTGAGAACACCTGAGTCTATTATCTCCACCTTTGTACGAGAAACAATTTGGTCGATGAAAAGGGAAAAGCAAGAACAAGACATTTCAGAAAGGACACGACAAACGAGGGGCACCCGTGGTGGGGCACTGCTTTTCAATACTTTGGCATTTCGTTGGAGCAATTCTGAGTATCTCTACGCTCAGTCTCTTCTTATTTGTCTCTCACTTCCACGCCATTGGAAACAAGACTTGTGAGGTGGAGACAGCTCACTGGTTAAGGCGCGAACGCAGTGACCGTAATTTCTACCTTGACGGACAAAAAACAGGTAGGGTTAGAACTAGACACAGTGGACTCTTCTTTGTTTCAGATGTACGCATTCTGCTGAAATATTTTCAGTCACTATTGTTCTCTGGTTCAACTTGACAGGAAAAGATCAATCGTTCGTAGCTTTTAGACATCGTTTATGCTCGATTTTCATCAGATTTACGATTCCGATCTTGGAATTGGTAAACTGGGTAACTGTACTCTATCTCGATTGGTCTTACAAACAGGTGGCTTCGACTGTGCCACATTTAGTAGTTCGAGAGTGATGTGATCATGGACTACTTAGACCGGCCAACGTCCGTATGTTCAAGTAGAACAGAAGGTTGACGGAAACTCTGGGACTGCGCCTACCTGATGGGCCCGAAGCAGAAGGGCGAAACCAGTCGTGGGCTGTCAAAGAGTTTTCAGCGACCTTGTGAGTAGTTTCCTTCATGAAAATAAAACCCCTCTGCTTTGGGTTCATTGTCACCGGTAGCTGGTCGCCGTGAATATGTATGGACGTGAAATCAGCTCGTCCGTCAAGGGTCGCGTTCACAAAGCTCCGGTGTGCACTGTATTGCAATAGGGATCAGAAACCTGGCCGCTGTGCTCCGGGGAAGTCAGTGTCTTCGGAGTGTTTCCCATGTCTGGTTGAACTACTGGGTAAGCAATGCTGAAGTACGTCGAATGGTACTCATAAGAAATAACTAACCCGGGATAGATGAACTAATCACACTGCATAGGTTGAGCTGGCTTGGCCACGTGCTCCGTATGCCATTAAAACTGGCCCTCTCGAAGGCCTCATTTTACACAGCCACATTGAGAGAGTCCAAGCAATGACTTGGAAACGAAATATGAAAGCCATTATTAGCAAACTTAGCTGCGCTGGTCATTGCCATCTTCCTAGCTGGGGACTTCGAGACGGGCAACATCAATGTTCAGAGACGTTGCCAGACATGGCCCAGTCGCACCCTCAGTGGCGCTCGTGCATCCCCACACTACTGCCTTCAATGCATAGCTCCCTTCCCTACCCTTACTTAACAGACCACTGACAGCCCTGTATTTACGCACCACTTTAAAAGTTTCCGTCTCCAATGGACAGCTATCTACCCTCCACCTCCCCAAATCATCAATGAACGAAAGGGTGATAACTGGGGCTTTCTGATTAGGCGCGTCCTTCTTCGTAATTCACCTAGTAGACACATTCGTGGCGCACTAGAAAAAAAACACAAAGAGTATTTGAAGAAACTTTTTGCATCGTTTCCTGAATATTCCCGTTTTCCCGATGGAACAATAAGGAAGACCGGAGTAGAATAAATCGATCGAGTGACTGGTTGGTTGACTGGCTGATTGATCGGTCGACTGTTTGTACACCGATTGGTTGGTCGTTGGCTGACTGATTGAGTTGCTGATCGACCGACTGATTAATCGATCGACTGATCGATTGGCTTGATCGATCGATAGATCAAACAACACAAAGTATTACTCCTGTTTGCAGGGACTACCGTAAGTATAAAATACTTTATCCACCTTCATGAAAGCGCTGTTGTTTTGAATGAAAATAAAAATAGAAATTAATAAGGATTTCATTGACTGTGCTAATAGCTAGTGGCCCTCCTGGAAGCAAGCTTTGCGCAGAAAATGCAATCCAAACTAAAAGTACGATCTCCTTGAGTAGCGCAAGGACTGTGAATCCGTATTTACGGGTTTCGTCTTGTAAGTTACTGAGGATCTTGTCAAAAAGCTGACAAGCGATACACATCAGTTGATTCGGAACAGAGGAAATATCGCATCCCCACTCAGGCCTCATAGCTGAGAGTTCTAGGGATATCCTTAGGGTCCCAATGCCCTATTTTGTTTAGATCCATGAAACCTTCAGTACGGGAAGAACAACTGCACGGTTTTCTTAAACACAAATGATTTGAGTAAGGACGTTAGTTAGCTTAAATTTGGCATCTATCCGTCATCAGCTTTTGTTTCAATGGTCCAAAGTCAACAGGCTTGAACCGGTCAGAAATAAACGCATGCATTTACTGAGTCTGGAAGGGACGGGGACAGAGGCAAATTGCAAGCATTGGGGCTTCATCCGCAGTTTTTTTGACTTTTGTATTTTAACGGGAACAAACCACCCGGTGGAATTAGATGTAGGCTACTGCAATGGATCAATGTCAGTGTGGCAGCCGAGCGCTTTGAGTAAAGAGTCCCCCAAATTTTGACTGGTGTCACCAAGTGATGATGGAATTTTCACATACTACTGATATGACAATCTCGCCAACATTTTTGAAGCTTTCCATGATGCGCCCTTGTATGGTTATTGCTTTTTTTAGTTGTTCAATTGGCCGAACTTTACATGCTTACAAAAGGATCATTCCAAACTCTGGTTGTGAAAGCAGACCGTCCGTAAGTTGAGCCCTCTTTGTAACAAAGCATGTCACGCTTGTTGATGGTCTTTCGGCGAAAATTGAGGGTTTTGGTTCCCTAAACCTTGAGTGGAAAGAAAGCTTAGTCCGCTGACGATCCACGCGCGGACAGATCCCGCACGAATTCTGAAATGGTCCATATGGTTCCCGATTATGATACTCTACAACTGAATGTGCTGCACACAGGCCGCCCCATGTTTCAGTTGGTACGATATTTTAGATATCGCAGTATTTTTTCATAAAGGAAACTAATCACTAGGCTACTGAAAACTCTTCGACAGCCCACGACCGGTTTCACCCTTCTGCTTCGGGCTCATCAGGTAGGCGCAGTCCCCGAGCTTCCGTCAACCTTATGATCTGCTTGGACCCATACTGGACGGATTTCGACCTACCTGATGACCCCAAGAAGGGCGAAACGGGTCGCGTGCTGTCGAAAAGTTTTCAGCAACCTTGTGAATAGTTTCCTTTATGAAAATAGGTGCAAATGGTTCTTACGTTTACGTATCAGTATTTTGCTATTGCCACCCTCAACGGTAACTCCAGGCCAAAGTTTTGCAGCCTGTAGTGCGATGGTTTAGTCTGTGGCAGATGTTTCGTCACCAAACGAACAGATATCATCAGTGTGGTGCTGTGAAGCAATGCAAAATTGCGCGTTGATGAAGCCCATCAAACTACTTACCCGTTTCCTTTGAGTTAGCACTCATGGCGGGACCTCCGATCAAAGTCAAGCGCTGAAGCCTCCATCGCTGCTGCTATCACCGGTACCTATTGGACCGAATACAAACAGCTTTAGCCCTTAGCTCAGTCTGAATGATGTTGAGGGGCCTGAGCAATGCTCATCCGTTCAACTTACACACGAGCTTCTGCCTGTGACCTAGTTCGTCAATGGACGGCCTTCTTCCAGTACTCACTACCCATAAAAGTGCACAGTATGCTGGAGAGTGTGACCTAACGCACAATTTTGGAGTGTACCGCTTCTACATCTTGCATTGCACTATTCATAAGGTTACTAAAAGCTCCTCGACAGCCCACGACCGGTTTCGACCTTCTTGGATCTCATCAGGTAGGCACAGTCTCCGAGTTTCCCTCACATTTATGTTATACTTGAAACCAAATTGCATGAAAATAGCGAATATACACTTAGTTGTAAACTAATTTGTTTTTTCGAGAGACTCGCCTGGAACCCAGCTGATGTTTCCAGGCTTCTAATTCATAAATTTAGCTTTTGGCCTCTAGCCTAGTTCGAAAACGAGTGAATGTGCAGTTTCGATGGACGTACTGATGAGACGTTCTTTTCTAACAACCAGCCATCGATCTCAAGCAAAAGAAATTATTTATACTTTACTTCCCACGGAGACGCTACTGCAGAATCGTACTGCAGAAACGATTAATCATCATTTGATCGTGGGAGATACTTATAACTTCTCCGGATTTCTTATCAGGTTTACCTCAAGGTTGTACATCGGCTAAACAATAAATTCCTGACATTCGTTCGTTCCTTTTCTGTGTGCTATCTCGCTTGTTTCTGCGAAGCGATTAGTGTTCGAGGGACGACAAAGCGTCTATCTGAGCGTGCTGGTGGACATTACCAGCCTTCGGGGTTAACAGAGGATCAATAAAACGGCCCGCTTCACTGCCTTTCACGTAGTTAATCTCTAGACCAACCAGACGTCGTCTATTCACGGAATCTGACACCGTCGCCATACAGATTTACAAACCTGGAATCTGCGCACACAAACTTTTTCTGGAAACCTTTGGCTTACAATCGGTCACGTGTCCTTTACATGTCCAGACAAGCTCACATGTCATGTGACTGACGTATGCGTTTTTTTCCCACTCACTACCCTATCCTGGACTGTCGTATTATTTTGCCAACTCTTCTAGTCTTTTGCACTGTGTCTGCTCAGTTGAACAAGCGCTGAAATGTCTTTCTCGTATCCATTCGACAATTTTACCAAAGTATTTATAAAACTATCAAGTGACTAAACCCTGCCCCCGATGAATCAACACCACTGTGGAGAATCTTGTGATTGTTGTCCCGAAACGGAGGGAATTTCACGTCTTTTCTTTTTGTAGAGACAAATGAAAACCTACACACATGTGCATTTCATTGACATCCAAGAAAGACAGGATAGAATTTTTTACACCTAACATACTACTCATATGGTTGCTGAAAACTGCCCGATTTAGTATTGTGAAGCATATCCATGGCTTCGTGGTTGTTTTGCTGATTCGTAACACAGACAACACTCTGTGTGTCAAATAACCCTCCCTGTAACGACTCCCTCTCCAATACAACCATATGACTACCTACAGTGTTCGCGACTAACGAACAGTTCAGGATTCAGGAAATCAGGGGCTGCTTCACGTCATCTGGTCTGCCAAGATTCCTCCAAATAGCTTCTTAGAGTGCTTATACATTCAGGGTTTCCTCTAAGCAAAGCACGTTGCCATCAGACACGAAATTTTCCCTGTTTTTGTCAGTGTTCCAGAAAACCGACCACCTGTGATCGAGAACTGATTGCTTAACCAGTTCGTCGCTCAGCAAACTCATAGTGACAAGCACCTCTTTGTCAGAGGCACGTCCGTTAGACTGGGCAGCCAAACAAGTCAACTCATTGTGAACTGATTGGACTTGATTTGGATGATGAAACTATAGAGAACAAGCGGAAACGTGATTTGTTGTCATACCGACTGAATAATTGCAGAAATACGGTGCTGTGATCAGTCGACATTCATTATTTCCTGGTGTCTCTGCTTGCTTATGCTGTTTTGTGAGCATGGTCCAAGTCTAACTATTTAAAAGACACTTGTTTCCGGTTGACTGCTGTTGACGGCTGTTTATCACACAAGTTCAACAGTTGTGATTGCATACACAGGCTGTGAATATGCATGCTTATTGGAGATCTCCAAAATTCCACGAAGGCGCTTGCCTATGGAGGAGATGGTCTAGAATACTCGAAAGTCACCACCATTGTAACGGTGATACTACTGATGGGAGTAGCATGCGAGTAGTGTGTTTTCTCGTAAATCCACTTCACGTCTCTTGAAAAGTGAGATCTATTACGGAATTTGTGGAGTTGCTTTGTAGCATTAGCTTGGATTTGAGCAACAGTCAATAAATATCCAGGAAAGTTCAGAAGACGCGTTCAAAGAGAATATGGATATTCAGTTTTGTAAAAAAGATGCATATGAGAATTTTGTTTCCCTATCCAATAGTCTGTAACTGCTCTGTTGGCATTTTCTAATAATCAACTCCACAGAGAAGGCCTTTTTCCCTTCACCGTGATAGCGGAACAAGCTGTCTTCATGGGATTCCAGGATTCACTCGGCACTCAGTCGCGCACCAATCGGGTTTTCTCGTGAAACTCTCTGATTCTCTTATTTATGATATCTCTTAACGGATCTGGCTTCACAAAGGCCGCCTCAAATGGAACATAAAGAGCTGACGGAAACGCGGGGGCTACATATACCAGATGAGTCCAATGAGGAGCGAAATAAATCACTGGATGTTGAAGAGTTATCAATAACCTCATGAGTATTTCTTTCTGTCTGTTCTACCACATTCTCACAAAAAACTTCCTCCATTTCAACCTGATACATAACGGGCGACTTGATTAGGCAGTCCAAATGTGTTTATTGAATATTCAGACCGGTAATTAACAAACTGTTTACCTGAAGTTAAGGACTATATAACATTCGACATGGGGTCAGGTTCACAGTGCTTCAGTAACACCAGGCATTTCGTCCGAGTTGGAAAACATCAAGATGTTCTTGTATAAGGAGCAAAGACTGTACCGAATCCCTGATAACAAGGGCTTGCTGCACTTGGGTTTATGTCACTCAGACGTCAAAGTAGAACTCCGTGCTAGACAACGTCCGCCATTTTCCCTCCGGTATGATCAATTTGCACTTTATCAGCCCAGCAAAATCTGGTCAAACGTTTTGAATCGTTGGTGAATCCTGAAGTTAAACCTTCCATCACTACTTAGAATTTTATTAAAATTCACTGATCATTGAGTTTCTTAGCCAAGTTTTCCATGCACCAAACCACCTTCTTAATGGAGATCGCCGTGAGGTGCACGTCTTCTTAGACAGGTTGGATCAAGAACTATCATCCCTGAGTATATTCGATCCATAGGTTTTCTGCAAATGAATTTCCATTGTTCACCATCCGTCAAGGTCATCCGGTGAACACTACTCACACGCACGATGGTTTTGTGTTATTCTAACAGGTGGAAGAAGTAAACCTTGGAAACGATCGATTAGAGCAACTTACTACTCGTTGTGTCCAGTAGTATAGCTTGTTTTTGTGAATATTACCAGTTTTGAACTTGTGTCCTGACTACACGTTTCTTCCAATATCTCTGACCAATCAAGGTTTACAACTGCGGATGGATTTGCAAAAACGAGATGTTGAGAGACCAGCTGTTCACGATAAAATTCACGCATAGCAATGAATGGTCACCGTCCGAGTGTTTTCAACACATTTTTTTGAATATATTCTTTTTTAGATAACCCAAAATGTGCACATCTTGCGTCATTGTTAGTTTGCCTGATTATCAGCACATAAAAAATTTACCTTTAGTTACACGTTGATCACACACTTCAATCATCACTCTATTTTCATTCCAGGAAAGGACTTCCCATTCGACCGGGCACCACTGACTGGAAACACACCTTCGTACTTCGGCCGGTGCATGACCAGAAATACGGCAAACGTAGTCTGGTCTTAGATGGTCTGTTGAAGCAAGAGAAGGTCTCTCTGGCTTCCTCATCGATATACCGAGTCCCAGACAATGACTGTCGGTACTACCAGCTCATGCGATCAATATTTGGTGAGGCTGTATAGTAAGTGTCTATATCATAACTAGAGATGGGAAGTCCGCAGCTGTTTTGACTCCGGAAATCAATCAGGGCTTTGGTTCAATCCTAGAATCCCCCATTCAGATGAGCGAAACTACTGGGTTTTTATTAGTGTAAAGTCAACCTTTCTAGACGCCGTTTCACAAACCCAGCAACGGCTTGTCGAATTCGCCTGATAGCGATTGGTCCGGCTGCTGATTGGTTTTTTGATATCTTATGACTAAAACCAATGCAACTGGCTGACTGAATGGCCTTGGCTTGTGTTGACCTTCCGTTGTAACGATTGGCCGGAGCGAATTTCAACCGAGTTCGGACAGTCATCGGCTGATCGATGAATAGACGAACTGATACTAAAATAATTTAGAAACACAAAGTTTTCCAGGACGGTAGCTGAAGAGGAAACAAGTCGGCGGCATTTGGAAAGCTCCAGTCAGCATCAAAGAAAGTCGACTGAAGCGCTGATCATTCACACTCTAGACAGATATTCGAACCGGACTCGTTATTAGTAGTATAGTACTACATTCGAAGTAAGTCACTTGCACTAGTACTGGATTTTGAATGGACCATTACTCATCAAAGAATGAATCTATGGCGGTCAAAATAAAAAGATAGCTTACGTCCAGGTCAGTGGATGACCTACTTTGTGGAATTCTTCTGTTGGATGAGTGACTGACTCCCGTCAGATTTGACACCATCTTCAGCGCACTCAGTTGGTGGATAGCATCTCTCGCTTGATGCTCAAATAGAACTTGACGGGAACTCGAGGACCGTGCCTAGCTTGGTGAGCTTGACAAGGACAAAACCACCCAGGGGTGCCTGAGCGTTTTCAGTAGCCTTGTGAGTAGTGTGTTCTGGCACACGGAAGGACGCCTGCCTCAATATACCCACTTTATCCAAGACACTTCATGCATATATGCATTTCAGAGAAATCAGTTTATGTAACATCCAGCTTTCTGCTCCGTTTCATCATTATTCGGAAGAATCCAACAATTATGAGCAACTAGTTATAGAAATTTCTGCATGCAGCCAAACACCGAAGAACGGGGGAAATATTACATTCTATCGCTCAACTCCAATTAAACACAGTCAGTCCTCGTGTCGATTCTTTTGTTTGAGCGAATGAACTGTGTCTAGGCCGTCTACTGTTTCCTATGGATCGATATTGAAGATGCTAAGAGATTTCCCCCACGTGACCAAGATAGTGCTCAATTAGAGATGAAAGTTTGGGAAGTGCCTATTTGATGAGTATGTAGTCGGCTGATGAACATTTGTCAGTCGTCAAATATTCAGAAAGGAATATTAAAATGAGCACTAATTACTTTAAAACCACCATACTCTACCGTTTTCCGCTCACCTTAAATTGAAGTTCAATGAAAGTTCGTTTTGCGAATGAAGTTAAACTATGCAGTTGTTTCACTCTTATTGGTTGAACGCTATGCAGTTCTGCCGTGAGTGACTGATCAACACTTGGGTAGAACGGAGTACCAGTCTTCCTCCAATCACAGGAACCACATCATGTGATCACATGCTGACTGATCTCGCGAGTGACAAATTCTCAGATCGAGGAATCACGCAACTTGTGACCCAGACCACTTGTAAATTGTTTACTAAAACAGGAATTTCTCTTCGGGAATTCGAAAAGTGCTCAGCGTATTAACAGTGCTCAGTTTAGCGTGAGATGAGCAGAAACAAACTGTGCCGTGGCCATGAGCTTCCATGTGAGTTCGATCACGCCAAACAGACGAAAGCTGTCTAATAAGTGATAACAAATGATACTGACATTCAGTAGGTTCTGTGGCGGTAAAATGGGTTTCTGTCTAGGTGAGGGCCATACAAGCGCACAATTTCGAAATAGAAACGTCGTGGCGTCACAAAAACTAAGGTTCTTTACTGAACGATAGGAAGAATATGTCAACAGCCCGCTTGCCTGACGGAATCAAAAGGGTGAACAAACTTCCAGCCAACACATTCAGAATGCCTGTCACCATTCACTATTACAAGCTGGTCTTTTGGTCATCGAATTATCAAACTTTTCAGTTTCACAAGCCGCTCCGAATCCACCACCCTATTCTTCATTCATTCGCGAGCTTGGAAAAGCCTGTTCCGGCCATATACACGTCATGTCGTTTTCTCAGGGCATTTTTCTATATCTGTGTGTGTGTAAGACAGTGTGTTTTATCCTCTAGGAGCTTGAATGCCTTGGCGAAGAATACGGTAGTGAGCAAGGCGTTATAAAAGCTTGTGGCAGAAAACCACTAATTCTTTTAATCAGCCCGAACGGCGAACAGTTGCGGGATTTATTGATTTTGTATACATTCGTTCGCCTGAAAATATGTGAGATAGAATGATATTCTCAAAATACTGAATTAGAGCTGTAAGCAAGTTTCCCTAAGGGGTCTCACTTGGCGCAACCGGATGCACGAAACACGGTGACCTCAAGGTCATATTTTTTTGGGTATAGCGCTGATGTTTGTCGGATAACTTTTCAAGACACTAGTGTAATTTGCCACGCCCTGATATAATGAGTGAATGTCAGGCTTGTGTGTGCAATTTGGCTTCAAGTAGAACATAAAGCTGACGTAAACCCGGGGGCTGCGCCTACTCGATGAGCCCGAAGCAGATGGGCGAAACTGGTCGTGGGCTGTTGACGGATTTTCAGCAACTTTATGAGTAGTACATTACAAAGATATAGTTTACTCTGCGTTTCACTCTACCCAGAGACAAAAAAGAAGATTGGTCACATGGGGAGAATTCTGGTGCTTTTTTAGATCATCTAGCCCCACGAGAAAGTTGCATATGGTGGCTCGAATGAAAAATTGACCTTTCCTTTGTATCCAGGGTCTGGTGTGGAACATTTGTCTGGACTGACAACTGGACGGTTACCAGTTGAATATACGTAGATTAGCCATGCGCAATTCCAACTACATGGCATTTTCGCGCGTTCTCGCAGGCTTATTTCTGCGGTAACCCACTTTTCGCTGTCTGTACCGTTGGGCGAACCCTTGCGTATTGATTGGTTTATATAGGCATCCATGCTCCGTGGAAAAACAGCTTGAATAGCCTGGCAAGTCAAGTTAAAATGGGGCTTAAAGTCAGAAAGATTGTGTCAGTGGACTAGTCCACTTGCGTTCAATTTTCGCAATTGATTTGCCCCTGATGATGATAAGAGTGACGATGATGGAGGTGTTGATGGTAACCGGAAATTCTTGGTCGGATATGCTCACGTCGATTGCAATTTCAGGTGAGCAAAATCGGTTGACGTGAGCTGGAGCTATCTGTATCGGTGCACGCCGTTAGCAACCAATTCAATATATATACTCGTTTGCAAGTGAAAATACACTGCAATATCTGGAATATCGTGCCAATCCAAAAACGAGGTGGTATTTGTGCAGTATGGGGGCCAGTTGGACCAAATGGTCCGAGCGCGAAGTTACTGACCGGAAGGTCCGTGGTTCGGACCCAACCTTTGCCTCTCGACTTCCTCTGTCTAGGCTTGTACAACCTGGCAGTATCCCAG